GTTCTGTTTAACCGCAAAAGTTAGAAGGCCCACGGCTGTGCTGTCAAACCAACTAATCCTCTGATTTTTCTTTATGTATTGCAGAGTACGCCGAGAGCATCGGAGATGGAAAGAGCGATGAGTTCAAAGAGGCCGAGCGGAAGAGGATCATGGACCTCGCAGACAACTTCTAAGCTCACTTCTTCTCTTGCAGACACTCACGCTTTCCCACCCTCAAACACGAAGAACCTCGGTGATCATCAAACCCAGAAAATTAATGATTAAATGAACAGAAACAGCTAAAAGCATTCAGTGGAGGGAGATAGGGTTTCATGTGAGAAAGAATTTAAAATTACAGCCCTAAGTTAATAATATCCTTTTTGTCTACTTGTCTAAGTCTTGTGTCAGAGAATTGGTTCAGTTCCAATGAAGATGTTTACTGCAGACACAGTGGGAGTTGAGTTTGGAGGGCAGAAAATTGTATCTTGACTGAAACACCCAGCCAGCAAGACTACTCTCAGCAACAGTGCTGTTTATTTACTGAACTCTGGTGTTGGACACTGCAGGATAATCATGGACACAGATTTTAAACTCAGAAATTCCCCCCTCAAAGCTTTTTACCTGGCGAGTTTTTGTTTGGTCTGTTTTGTTTCTGTTTTTGTTTTTTATAGATTTAGGTGTAAAATATTTTCTAATAAAAACATTTGGTGATGGAATTCTGATGGCCATTTTGATTTTGATTAAATGTCATGTTTTACAGCGTGGGATTGGCACAGCAAGCTGATAACGGTCTGTGCACATGAATTTCATTATGCCCCCACTTGGTTACTGTTGCACGGAGCGCAGATGGAGACAGCAAGCCTATATCTGCAGCCCCGTTCGCAATATTAGAATCCTTGCGGAAAGGCAGACCTGCTTCTTCTTTACTTGTCTAAACCCACCCACGGATGGATCGCAGCAGCCTCCCGGAGCTCTCAGCCCACTGCTGTTTTTCGTTGACGCTGATTCTGTTCACGCACATCAGTGAGGAGGTGGATTACAGTACAGCTGTGTACACAAACAGACCTACTGCATTATTGTCTCTGTCTTGTCCGCCAGGCTGCATCTTTGTTTGGGAGGAAAAAAATCTGTTATGAATTATATGTTAACTGAGAGAGAATATCAGCCTAGTATCATCATTATCTTATAAGAGTAATTTCTATATAAAGACTGAATTTACGCTTTGGTGACAGTGGGAAGGAAAAACTCAATTTTAACAGGAAGAAACATCAAGCAGAGCCATGCTCCGGGATAGGCATCCATCAGCCTGCCACTGGTTGGGGATACAGGGTCACCCTAATTATTATTAAGTTTCATCAAAAAGGAAAGTTTTTAGCTTATCTTAAAAGCAGAAAGGGTGTCTGTTTCCCTAATCCAAACTGGGAGCTGGTTTCACAGAAGAGCGGCCTGAAAGCTCTCCCTCTTTCTTCTTTGTAATAGGTTAGGAACCACAAGTAAGGCACGCGTCTGAGAGTGAAGTGCTTCATTGGGCTGATTGAAAATAAAATTAAATACAATCATTTTGTGTTATTGACTGCAAATACTGGACATGTTTTTGTTTTGTTTTTTTCCTTCATAGGTGCAGAGGCAGACGTTTAAGTGATGAACTGTGTTAGACTTGTGCAGGACACTTGTGTCGATTATGGTCGTTGCTAAGTCAGGTCACGCACCAATTTTAGATTTTAGCTGAGGATTCTTAAATCTAAAATATCCATCTTCATACTAGCTTTATACTTGATAGATGTTGGGAAGCAGGTGTTACGTCTAGTTATATCTTGTTGAATTAAGTTGGTTAAATCTACAAAGAGCAATAAACCTCAGAGCCAAATTTATTTAGAATATTAATACAGTTGCATATGGTTGTGCCCCATCTGAGCCTATTAAGAGATTTATATGACGCAGTTATGTCAGGTTTCTGTCAAAACACTCAGTCAGGGCTCAAAGATCAGAGCCTGTTCTTATCACAGGTAAAGATTTCTGTGCATCTGAACCATAGATGATGACGATTAAATATTAAGATTATTTGCAGATCCTGAATCTAAACCATTTGACTGTGGAGCACGGAAAGTGCTTTTCTACCTTGAAAGGTTCTTTTTTTTTTTTTTTAATTAATGGTTTCTGGTTTTTATTACACTATATCCTAACTTTTGTTAGAAACGGGCTTACATTATCAATCACCATTTAAGTACACCATGTCCTCTCCAGATCCTTGACCATGACTGCTGACAGGAGGCAGCAGTGGTGGGAGGGACTGGGTGGGATGCTCACTGACAGCTGCCACATCTGCTGCATTTCCTAAGTGCCTTTACAAAGTCTAATATCACTCAGTAACAAGATGGGTAGAGCGGCGGGGCGTCGTTTGCATACCGTATTGGCAGAGGAGGCCCAGCCCCATGCATCTCCTATCAGTGATTATGACTGCAGCGTGTTTAACAGCGGTTGTACAGCAATTTCACAGCTGAGGGGAGGGAGAATAATTGTATTTTCCGAATGACTGAGTGCAAACACTGTGCACCACTGTGGTTTTGAGCTTTTCTCTTTTTAGTAGGGAAGAAGAAGGTATTCTGTTATTGAGAGTGAACAGAGGGATTGGTAAAGTTTGCAAAACAGACACCTTAATGCTTTGATATATATAGAGAGAGATAGATAGATAGATAGATAGAGAAATAGATCTGCACACACACCAGATGAAATCTGTAAAGCTAACATGTAAGGCTAAATATAGCTCTGTAGCTAAGTCTTTTATGTATTAGCACTAATAATATTTAGGTTTGAAATGTTGGCATAATAAAAGCTGTGTATTTTGACCCTCAGTAAACATGGCAAGAAATAACATAAGCAGTGTGATGAGGAGGGAAGGATGGCAACAATCTATGTATACTGCCAGGCAAAATCACTGTATGCGACTTTCGCTAAACACATCTAGCAGGCCGGGAGTTGACATATTCAGTCATGAGCTCGCCCATGTAGACAGCAGACACTGAGTAAGCATACCGGTGGTGACAGGGAAAGAGGCAGGCTGGCTGTTTAACACCCTCTACCTATATTAATGGCTGTCTAAGGTAAAGGAAGAGACAGCAGAAAACCTGAAGCAGACAGGTGAGATTTGGTCTAATGACAACCGTCTCTTATTGGTTTTGAATTCAGTCTGCCTTAAATGCCCCGACTGGTCGATCGATATTGGTGGGGTACATGTGGCCGTGAGTTTACACCACTGAAACTGATTTTTCCTTAAGTTCTCAGCATCATCAACTTTGCCTCATTAGCAGTTCGCATACATAAAGCTAACAGCACTAAAACTCGCAGGCTCGAAAAAAGTTAATTGCTCCTGTAGTCCAAATGCCGCTCTGCGCCAGAACTCAGCATAGGGGCTGAACTTATTGCTGCATAAGATGTTTCCACCAGAGTATCCGCTCTCGTTCCCTACTGTGAAAATAGTTTTTCAGTGAGACCTGGCAAAATATTACTAGCACACATACAACTGTAAGTGTGCCCTAATGGCACCCCTGCAAAGTGACTGTCAGGTATTACAACCAGAATGACAAGCAAAACATCAACAACAGTGTCCTCCTTTTCCATTAGGAGGACACTCCTAACGAGTTATGCTCTTGCTCAAGTTCTGTTCAATGTCCTACAAGCACCTATGATTGAGGGGAAAACGGGAAAAACTGAAAGAATGGTGTTAGTGGACAGGAGGAAAAAAATACTATGAAAAATTATTTCCTGCCTCCAAAACAAAGAATGCATAGCTTTCACAAGGTTATTGGAACAAAACACTGGACAAATTATGTTGAATGGGCAATATTTGACAGAGAGTGCAATACTACTGCATACTGACCTAAGACTGGAGGGGCAGCTGCCCCTTTAGCGACTTGATTGAATATTTCAACTGTGCCTTGTGTGAAACAGACCCACCACTGGAAAATAACACAAATACATATCTTAAGCTAAGTAATTCAAAGTTGTGAGATAGACAGAAACATTGAACAAAATATAATAAAACATATTACCGGTATAAGTTACATATGTGTATTCAAAGAAAAGTTTTAATTTCTATTTTGCACACTTTTTGAAGCATTTAAGACAAATAAAATCCAGTTGGCAGAGCTGATAAGAAAAAAAAAACACCATCCAGAGTTTTATGTTATTTTGGTTAACAAGGTGGACAAAAATGATGCTCTTGGCTGGGCTGCCCTATATTGAGAAATCTGATCTCTGTACTGCTCATGCGAACGGCAGTGAGGCTACATTTCAGCACCACGGACAGCTACACAACACACAGGCAGCGTGCCCCTGACATCAGTCTCTCAAGCAAACAAACCACACTCCAGCGCCAAATCAGCGATGAAGCTCATTACTGTGGCTCTGCTAGTCTAAACAATGCAATGAATCAGTGAGCAGACTGTCAGCTACATCAAAAGAAACACTTATTTCCCACCACTCACATTGGTAGTGAGTGGTTCACATTGGACGCAAGAGGTGAGCTATGAGACCCCCAAACAGCGCCAATGTATTTAGGTGCACAGGAAACATTGGCGTGGACAGGGAAAAAAAGCAGTTAACCATATGTGGTTGTGATGCCCACTGTGGGCGCAGTTATTTCAGAGTTTAGCAGTGTGTGTGTGTACAGTGATGAAACAAGCCACTGGCTCTCGCAACACTTTGTTTAACCAATCCTAATTTTTGATACCTCCCTTGCACGCTTGTCTGGTGAAAAAACACATCCGCGACGACATTAACTCATATTATGAAAACATTATAATACTAAAATACTAATTAGTTTGAATACTAGCTTAATAAGGGTTTTCAGCTTTTAGTGGCCTCGCGCCGCTTCATAAAAGCGGATTCGTTAATGACAAATTTAGCGTCATTAAGTTTGCTGAATGCTTGTAATATCACTCCTCTCATAATTGATATTCCCCACTGCAAGCCGCGGCACTTTCTAATGGGGGAAAAGTCTCCCTCCGCCGCATGTAGGACCGAGTGAGCGGAAGCAGAGCCACATTCACTCAGTCACTCAGTCAGCTGGCACAGGAGGAGGCTGCGGCGACTTCCTCGTTATTTCTCGCAGGTATCCCACTCCCTTCGTCGCCAGAACAAGCCTTCCGGATTAAACAACAACAAAAGAAAAAAAAAGAGAAAAATTTTGTTTTCGACGTGCACTCCACTCGATGTGAAAAAGAGCGCGAGACAAAACATAAGCGAAATGGGAGCGTTCAGGGTGCTGTTGGGGAGTTTACATTACATGGGACTCTACATGCAACTTAGTGTCTCCACGAGGCAAGCTGGACACGGCGAGATAGAGAACCACATCTCTGGGAACGGTAGGTGTGAGCTCCGCTTCGGACTTCTTTTCTTTCATGGAAAAGGAGGCTGTGGAGAGGGTGGCACAGGTGATGCCATCTGCTCATATGCAGAGGTGGAATTAAACAAAAGAGCATCGCATGGGCTTGAGGCTGGTGCCGATGATGATGCCAACTAGTGCAAATGTGTGTTTTCTTTGTGTGTGTTTAGGTCACTAAAAGTGCTTCTGTTTGTTGTTGTTGTTTTTGTTTTGCGTTCATGCATAAAATTGGAAATACAAAAAGTGTTCATCAACCAGTCAGACAGCAAGCTTTATCATTTAAATTTAGACCATTTCCAGTGAAATCTGATTCATGTGATCACCATTTTAATGAGTTGTGATCTTGTGATGCATGGCGAGCCAGCCAGCCCTCATGACTGGCATGATTTTGTTTTCTCTGAGTGCTGCGGCTTTCCACCAGTTCTGCTCATCCTCCTGCCTCCTGATCAGTGCGTGATTCATCCCGCCAGAGGAGAGGTGATGCCAGCTGACAGGTGGATGTTAATATTCTCTTGTCATATCCGAGTAAAATCTTTACTGAGGAACCTTTGATCTGGCTTGGATCAGCCCCCCTTCTTTCTCAGCAGGAGCTTTCCTAAATGGCCTCCAGGGTTTACGCTCGGCTATGTCATAAAGTCAAACACACAGTGAATGCCACAGCTCCCCAGTTTGTCCTGGCGACTTTGGCTGAGCCTGCCAATCTCCACAGGTGTCATGCTGCTAGCTTGGCAGATGTGCTTGGCAGGGTTGTGTTTGTCTGGGTCGAAAAAAGAAGAAGTACACTTTTCTTTCAGTGGTAAATGTGCACTCAGACTCTAATGCACGCCATTTGTAATGTAAAAATGCACCTTAAAACATGATTACATCAAAAATGAGATGCAAGGTCTCTCAAACAAAGGCATAAATATAAAATAATGGAGAAGTGGCTGAAACCAGAGCTGTGAAAATGTTGATATTTTTGACAAAACAAAAAAACAAAAACAGAAAATAATCCTAAATATCTATAATACTCCTACAAATTTCACATTTGAAAGATGTAATATGTAAGATTATTAGTTTAAAACGTTAAAAAGGAAGTGCCAGTTTCAACTAAATGTAAAAATACCCAAAACAATCAAAGACTTATTGTGAAAAGGATTTTATACTTCCTGTGTCTAGGGTCCAATTGGGTCCCTGTGGCATAAACATCACCAAACAGTAAGTGCGAGGAACTAGTCTGCAGAGAATTCACATCACGGTGCACCAAATACGCATTTGCTCAGGCAGTGGACTTCAAAGAAGTATAACAGGAATGACTATTCAGCCTTCAGGTCTCTAGCTGTCCGTGCGCGCAACCAATCCAGGCTTCAGTCTGTAAGCACACTAACTAGCTAGTGCTGGTCCGTTTTATAATGCTGCTGTGAACCTAGCATAATCTAATTCTTCTGTCCAACATGAGAAGAAATAAGCAGCAGAGATCACATTCTTTTCCTTTACAGAGTCAATAATTCTGGCTACTTGTCAATCATATTGAAGGGCAGATCAATGATGAATGAAGTAGAAAAGCAGCAGATGCTGTATCTTCTGGTGAGGAGCCACTGGAGAGATTTTTTTTTAACCTAGCACTAATGTCTCCTTACAATCTGCTTACAGCACTTGCCACCCCTCACTGACACCCCGGCCATCAGCATCAGTCCGTGCAGAAGTCTGGAGGCTTACTTCCAGTAGCAAAAAATATTGTGTAGCTCCACCAGCAGATCACCATGCAGGTTTACTGTTGGATGATTTGTTGCTAGACATAAACATTGGTTGCAGATGTCCACGTCCAGTAGAGATGAAACTAAGTTGGGCTAAGACATAAAAGTTGCACTTCTTTGGGTCTGGAACAGCCACTGCATGCTTTTTTTTTTCTTTTCTTTTTTTTGAAGCAACAGCACCCCCTTCTAGATTAACGTGTTCAACATACTGCACCTTTAAAAGTCATGAAATTCAAATTTTTTAAAATTGAATTTGATGAATGTGGTTCTGTAACAAGCTGAGCTGAACTCCTTAATGTGGTTTTATATGTAGATCGTAGTCACATGTTAACAGGTGCTCATTTATGGAGGAAAAACCTTTGACCCCTCAACAGTTAACCATGTCACATGTTTTTGTTTAACGTTTACAGATGGATGAGGCTGTCCGTATCCACATATCATTAAGACGTTTGTCTGGGATCATCACTATCTCACTATATATTTGTTTAAGGGGCTGCCTTAAGGTTGTACCTGCAGGGATCCAAATATATTGGATGCTCTGTGGTCACCACAGGGACTCCCTCTGGCAACATGATTTAGCAGCATCCAACCTGGTGTAAAGTCTGAGCTGGATTCTCATTATATACACCATTCATTAGATCCCTCACCCCCTTTGTAGTCACATCCTAGCGAAACACTTGCATTTCAGCTTAAAATATTTATCATTTTGTTCCATATGGACCAACATGAAAAATATTTCATGACAGGTCACGGTGCATCTGTAAAATAAGGACTCTGACTCCTTACTTCAAGCTGAATAACGTGCTTGTGGGAAGACATATTTTAGGACAGTGGATGTGCAGGATTTTTATGGAAATGAGTGTGTGCAGATACACTTGTTTTTGTTTTATCCTGGGGGTAAAAATGAGAGAAAAGAGGAGGGCAACAAGAGATTTAAAACTCCTGCAGAACCAAGTGTATTACCAGATTCATGTAGTCTAGTTCCTAATTGAAATACTAAATGGCCTTGCAATGTAATAATTAGTAAAGCACGGTGCATAATACTGTGGTATGGAGTTAAGTCTAATAGGATTTTCAAATGGATTGTTTTTCATAATGAGTGAGGAGGGTAGGAGCGATGAAGGTTCAGCGATTTTGATGGGGATAAACCCACCTGTACTCTGTTAACACCTTTGTATTTGCAGAAGACAATTTTGCCATGACATCCATAGTTATGAGGTGTATTCACAGCATGAGCTGCACCACCGTGAGTCATGTTCAACAAATGGCACGACAGGGTCAACTGAGGGAAATCAAGAGACCTTCATTTTCTTTCCCATTTGGATCGTATTTGTGGTTTCTGAGCCTCTGGGGGTCATAATTCATCCTCGCTTTTCCTTTCCTGCATGAGCTGTATACAAAAGAGTGGGAACAAAGAGAAGCAAATAAAAGTGTCGAAAGAAAAACAGCCTTGAACTTTATGAAAATCGAGCAAGGATTTCCTGTCTGCATCTGCCCAGACGCTGTTTTAGTCTTTGATACTTTTCAATTAACTCCTAATTAGGAGGATGTGAAGCCATTATTCCAACCAATCAATTGGCTTCCAATCAGTGAGGGTAAATGAGCCATTGGGGGAAAATAACAATGTCAAACAAAAAAAAAAAGAAAAGAAAGAAAGTAATAAGAAAACAGCTCAAGTTTGAATAACATTACCAGAGCTGTCTATGTCTCATCTTTAACCCCTTTTATTCAGCATGAAACCATTTTCCGAGGTAAAGCAGGTCATGTTAAAGAATAGATGTTTGTGAGCCTTCACTTAACACCATTCATTTATCTTCACAAAAGTTGACCTTTGCCACCAGAGAAACCAGCACCACATTCCCATTAATAGATTGGATTAACTATTTTTCTCTGTTCAACAAGTGAATCACGCTCCATCATGTTTTGTGGCTGCTGCACTGTCTTAAAAGGCTTCAGACATGGCTGCCCCTCCACAAAGTGACAGTTATTTGAGAAGAATATAGTAAATGGGTGCACGAGCATATCCCCCCACCCCAAACAATCTGGCACACATGCAGCCACAGACTGTGATGGTTACACCTCCTTTACAACTGTTCTTACCGACTGAAACGCCCTTTTTGAGGATTTGTTGCATTATAAATATAGAAGGTGCAGATGGGACTTTCACTGAAGGCAAACTGGAGCACCAATTAATGACATCACAATACTGTTAGACTATTAAAAATTTAACAGCAGCCAACACAGTATCACTGGCAAACACTGCGCAGCAGCTTGCAGGGTTTACTCCTGTCTTCTATGGAATCGCACACCAAATGTCGATGTCTGCTGATCGCCGCACTCGCGGTTCACATGTAATGGTGGTGACTCAGTACATGATACTGGGGCTCCATACATCATCACTGCAGTGAGTACAAAGAAGAATGGCTGTCGTAAAAAAGAAAAAAGCCAGTCAGGTGCACTGAATTACTGTTACTTATATAGAAGACTGAACTGGGTCAGCTAACATGGGCACCTATCCCAGTAGCACTGAGTAAACAATGCATCGTCTTTGCTTTTTCGGGAATAATTACCAAAACAGCTGCTTCATCTCAGAGAGATTTTGTAACAATATTCAGTTAAATAAAAGGTAATGAAGAAAATGAGCGCAGTGTTTCAGTTTTCACATCTGCTCCTCAGTCTGTTAGTGAGTCATACTTCAACTTTGGCCTCGTGACTGTGGGCCATGCTTTTACTAGCCTTTCCAAGAGAACACAGGATAAATTCTTTAGACGCAAAATAAATGCACTGCACGTGTTACTGTTTAGTGCTAAATTTTACGGCTTATTAAGCCAGCCCCATGATTATAATAACGTACTTTAATGGGAAAGCATTGATAAAGCATTTGGAAACTTAATGTGATTCTCGACATCATCCCCTGAATTAGTAGCCATATCCTTCCTTTGAGTGGGTGGAGAATAGATCAGTAGCTGAGCGCATTGAATCCTGTTTCCAGTCAATCAGCCAGAGCTTTGTAGCTGGGATTAGGAACATCGGTAAAATGTAGCCACCGTAACTAACTGCCATGAGGAAATGGCAACATTGGGGATGAGTTGTAGACAGCTGCACGTCATCTTACAGAAATAACCACTCTTAACAGAGCAACAAACTTGAGGTGATTGCATCAATGTTGGGGTTTTTATTTATGTCTCAGGCTGCTTTGTTAACACCGGGGAAAAGATGGTTTCCTGGGTTAATACATAGAAGG